TTTGCTATATTTTAGACACCTCTCTATCACAATCTCATAAGGAGTGCATGTAAGGTTCAGAAGGGATTGAAGAGTCAGATCACAGCGTGTGTGAGACCAATTGGCAACTCATTTCCACTGAACGAAATTAAAATTTCAACTTCGGATGGTTAAGGGAAAAGATATTCCAAATCGATGCTATATAAAATTCTTCCTCACATAATTCTCATCATGGGATGTCCTTTCCTTTGAAACTAAGTTCACCACAGACACAGGGCATATATTTGTGTTTTCCACGTAGGGCCTTGCCTAGAAAAGAAATTCAGTTTGTCCACGGTGTCAGAACTTGAGTAAATTTTTATTTGGAAACATCCCTTTTATGCTCCTGTGCAAAACAGAGTTATAATGTTTATTATAGAAGCTGTAGTATGTATTTTTTGGTTGAAACAAAATAACAACAACAAATAACTCACTGTGTACTTTCACAGCGAGACTGTATGTGGCAAGGCTGGAATTGAGGGCGACAACTAATAATAAACATTAACTAAAAATACTGAATATAAAAAGAATGCAATTATGTAACAAAGCAATTTTCCTACAATAGGTGATGTGACATGCATTCCTAGGCATTGATTTGCATTGTGTGTTTCTATGAATCCTTCAGAGTCAGAAGCAAAGCTCTATTTTGTGATGATTCTTGTGCATGAATGTATGTTTCAATTTTGAGTGAAGATATTTTATTTATCAAAGACTTAAATTCAAAAGTATGAGCACAATCCCTGCCCTGGTGACCTTGTTTTGCAGGTATTCTCTGGTGTGCCAAACTGAAAATTGCAGGAGATACATTCATCTTCATCATGTGTGTTTGATAGCAGTTATTGAATTTTTAAAATTAAATAGTTTGCAGGCTATTTTAGAGTCCCAAATTTTCTGCCAAATTTTCTATCTCCTGCGTGATGTATTTGTGGGTCCAAAGGTCCAGAGGCTATAAAGCTATGGCCCAAAAGGTTCTTGCTCTGTATATAGATGAAAGGGTTTATTTCACTGGAGGTGCAGCTAATTCTTTGCACAGATGCCACAACCCAAGGATGTGTGACATGGACAACAGGTCATATATCTCCCATAGTCAAAGCTGGGCTGTCCATTGGTGTCCTGCTCCCTTGTAAAATATTCCAGGGGAAACAGTTTTCAGTAACACGAGCATTATGAATCATTACCAGCATAATTCAAAACTTAATTCTACTTCTGATTTTAGCAGGACAATAGCAAGAATAATGTTTGATGGTTTACAGGGCCATTATTTTAGCTTTTAACCTCAGGGAATGTTTGACAATCATTACCATGCAAACCTATCCCACCTTGTGATGATATAAAAGAAGCCTGTATTCCAAGAGACACAGATTTGTTTATAAGATTTAGTATATGCTCTGGGAAAAAAGATCAAGAAATTCACTTTAAAACTCACAGCATTTTAATGCACTATTCTCCCCAACTTGTAAACTTTTTAAGCACAGAAAATTGCTTTTTATATCAGCAACACCTGAGTTAATTATCCCATCACACTCCTAACAAATTCAGCTAAACATGATGATTGTGGTCAAAGATAATAGTAATGTTTATAATAATACTGTAATTTCATAAATGTTTATAGAAGTCAGACATTTTCCTAGGTGCTTTGGCTATAAAAATGACCATAATCATTAGAACAACCCTATTAGGTTTGTTTTCTAGATGAACCAGAGTTGAGCTCCTAATCCTATATGGTGGGGCCTTGACTTACGAATTTAATTCGTTCCGAGACCAAGCTCATTAAGGAGCTCGTTAACTGAAATTACTCTGCCAACTCAATGCAAAAAATCTGCCGAGAGATAGCTGGTATCTCAAAAAACTCGTTAGTCGGGACACTCGTAAGTCAAGGCCCCACTGTATACGGGATGCTGTAATTGGGCAGTTTGTGTTCAAATCCAGGCTCTGCCACTAACAAAGTAGGTGACCCAGGGGGCATTACTCAACCTCTGACATTATATGGCCTTTTAATGATTGACTATTTAAAGGACTCTAAAAGAGAAATCTGTTCATAATGTGGCTGATACCTCTAATATGGATTGTTAGCTTTACTTCTAGATTTTCACATTTCCTCTCATTTTTTAGTATATAATTTCTTTAGAGTAAAAGTCACGTACATGTATGTCTTATATAATCACAGAGAAATACATTTGTATGACCACTGCTATAATGAAGATATATAAATGTTCACCAATAGGCTTCTGTATGAAAGTCTCATTTCATGTCTCTTGATAAAATTTTCTGTTGGAGAAGCACTATATTCCTAGGGCTGGGATTACTGGATCATATGATAGCATGTGTTTACCTTAATGTGATACTGCAAAACTGTTTTCCAAGGTGATTGTATCATTTTGCACTCTCAAAACAATGTCCGAGGGTCCTAATCATACCCCATCCTTGCCAAAGCTTAGAATTGTCAGGGTTTATTATTTTGTTGTTGTTGTTTTTATGACCAATCTAATAGATGTATAGTGATATATCATTATGGTTTTAATTTTAATTTCTGTGATGACTAATGATAGAGAGTAACTTTATGTTTACATGCTTATTTGCTATCCATGTCTTTGCTAAGTGGTCTCTGCAAGTTTTTGTCATTTTTTTAAATTAGATATTTATGTTCTTCTTGGCAAATTGTGAGAGTTCGTTATATTTTCCCATACACAAGTCTTTTATCAATGTCCTCTATGCTTGCACATAAAAGCATCTAATGTATAAACTCTCATTTAGACACTATAACTTCATCTCACACATTTTTATATGTATTTGTTATCCAATTTAAAATGCTTACTAATTATCTTTATTTCGCTTTGACCCAATGTTATTTAGAAGTGCGTTTTTAATTTTCAAGTGTTTGGGGACTTTTCCAGATTTTTTTGTTTTGTTTTGTTGTTGGCTGTATTCTTTAAGTCTGTTAACATTTATTTTAAAGTCCCAAAGTATGGTCACCTGGTGAATGTTTCATGAGTGCTTGAAAATGTGTATTCTGCTGCTGTTTGTTGGAGTGTTCAATTAGGTCATGGTGATTGATGGTATTGTTCAAGCCTTATATTTCCTTAATGTTTTCCTGTCTCTGAGAAAGAAGTGAAGTCTCTAACTGTTATTGTAAATGTATCTATTTTCCTGTCAATTTTATCAGTTTCTTCATATGTTTTGAAGGAAATGTGCATATACACATAAATTTGTTATATCTTCTTAATGAGTTGGTCTCCTCATTATCATAAATTTTTCCTTTTTATCTCTGATAATATTTTTTTGTTTAGAAGTCTACATGTTCTGATATTGGTGTAGGCAGCTCATCTTTCTTCTAATTATTTATATTTGAACATATTTCCTGTCATATTAATTTTAACATATCTTTGTTTATATATTGAAAGTAGATTTCTTTTAGACATTACATAATTTCTTGGTTTTTAAAATCTAATCTACCAACCTGATTTTTATTTTGTGTTTAAAGTATTTGTTATAATAAAAACTATATAGTTTATTATATTAAGCTACAGTTGATATGATTCAATTTAAAACTATCATATTGCTAGTCTGTTTTCCCCATCTGTTCTTTTTTCTTTTTAATTTGTTATTTTGAAAAAAAAACCTGATGATTTTTTATTCCATATTATTTCTATTATCTTCTTTGTTTTACTTTTTTAATTATAGTAGCTTCATTAACACTTTAACTATACAACATTGATATATCATAATCTAATTTTAAACAATGTCATTTCATATAGTGTTTAAACCTTACAAAAATATATCCTACTCCCCCATGTTATCTTTTATGCTATGTTTGTCACACATCTGAAATGTGCATATGTTATAAGCACCATAAGACAGTTATTTTGCCTTAGGTGGTCAATCATCTTTTCAAGTGAGTAAAATTTTTTTAAAAAAGTAATCCATATTTACTTTCATTTTACCATTATTAAGCACTCTTCTATTTTTGTAGATTCGAGTTTTTGTCTTGTGGTCCTACTCTTTCTAATTGAAGAACCTTATTAAATAGTTTCAGTTTTTTTCTGGGAATAACTTTTCTCACCTTTTATTTTTTTTGTCTTTATTTTGCCTTTATTTATTTCTTTTCTTTTCTTTTTTTTTTTTTTTGAAAATTTAGAGGCTATTTATTTCTCCTAAGGTCCACAGCTGGCAGCCACTGCCCTCCGTTCTAGGGGATTTCTCTTTCCTTTTCTGAGAAATCCCCTCTCTTCCTTAAAGTGCTCACAGGGAGGCTGGGGTGTGAAGAGAAACCATACCATTTTTTTGCCTTTATTTTTAAATATATTTTTGCTGGGATAGAATTCTATGTTAAAAGTTTGTTTTGCATTCTGTGCCTTTATATCTAATTTGCAGGGCTTCTGATTAAAAATTCAATGTGCTTTATTTTTCTATCTTCTGGGATTATAATTATGCATACAGGATGGGGCAAAAGTAAACTTACAGTTGTTTGTATGGAAAGTAATATAATAATCTATAATAATAAAAGCATAATATGCTAATTAGACCTGACGTCCTTCCGGATGAAGCTGGGGCAGTGAGGGAAGCCCAAATCCCGGGTGCCTGCTGGTGGCCAGAGGGAAGCCCGGGTCCTGGGTGCCAGAGGGAAGCTGGTGCCGGCAGCAGGGGGAAGGAAGGCCTACTCTTGCACAAATCTCATGCATCAGGCCTCTAGTTAATAAGTAATAATACAAGTATAAACTGTTTTTACGTACTCACAACCATAAACCACAGCTCACAACTTTTGCCCCACCCTATATGTTAGGTTTGAATGGTTCAATATTGTCTGGTGACCATTAGACACTATTTCTTTTTTTGGGGGGGCGGTACCAAATTACTTTTATGAAGGAATGGTACAAATGAAAGACATGAGTGGATGATTTGGTACAAGTTATAGAAAGGGTACAGGTAACTCCAACATGCAGGTACTGCTTTTGTGACCAGGAAGCCACCCCTGTGGTCATGGGAAGCCAGCTTAAGGCTTAGCTCTCATCACTGTCTCCCAGGGTGTACTTGTCAAAGAGATACTCTACCATGCCAGATTCCGGGGCCCCCAACCTGTGCAAGTTGGTTACGTGGTCACTCAGTTCTTTGATGGATTTCACCTGCTCATTCAGGCAGTGAGTCTCAATGAAGTCACACAAATGAGGGTCATTTTGGTCAGTGGCCAGTTTGTGCAAGTCCAGTAGTGACTGATTGACACGTTTTTCCCAAGTATAACACACACCCCATTGCATTCAGCCCATTCTCCCAGTAGTCACGGTCTGGTTTCTTGATATCCTGAAGGAAGACTTGGCCACCTCGTTGGTTCTGTAGCTTCATCAGTTTGTTGGCATGTTCCCTCTCCTCCTGAGATTGGTAAAGAAAATACTAGGCAAAGTTCTTCAAAGCCACATCATCATGGTCAAAGTAGGAAGACATGGACAGGTAGACGTAGGAAGCGTAGTGCTCCATGTTGATCTGGCAGTTGATGGCGACCTCCAAGTCCTGAGGGTAGCCCTGGCACACCTGCGAGTGGACCTGGTCGTGGTCATGGTGGGCAGCTAAGGAGAGGCGACTGAGTGGTGCTGGAGTGGAGGCCAGGGCCTTGGGCTGTCTGAGGGATTCCAGAGCTCAGGCCTGGGTGGCAGGGCTGAGGTGGCAAGTGCTGGGTTCTGTACAAGCTCTGTTGAAGTAGAAAACCACGGCCACTCTCCATGAAGACTGGGGACACTATTTCATTTTTATTTTCTTTGTTCTATATTAGATAAATTTCTATTGACAGATATTCAAGTTTCTGGATCCTTAGCTTTGCTTATTCTTCTGATAATCGTATTGAAGGAATTCTTCATCAATGATATTATGCATTTAATTCTTACATTTTCATTGGACTCTTTTCTGTGGTTTCAATATCTGCTGAAATTGCCTATCTGTTCATGAATGGTGTCCAATTTTTCCACTAAATTATTTAACAAAGGAACAGTAGTTATTGCAAAACCCTAGACCAGGGGTGGGCAAACTTTTTGACTGGAGGGCCACAATGGGTTCTTAAACTGGACCGGAGGGCCGGAACAAAAGCGTGGATGGAGTGTTTGTGTGAACTAATATAAATTCAAAGTAAACATCATTACATAAAAGGGTACGGTCTCTTTTTTTTTAGTTTTATTCATTTCAAACGGGCCGCATCTGGCCCACGGGCCGTAGTTTGCCCACGGCTGCCCTAGACTGATAGTTTCAACCTTTGAGGTCACTTTTACTTTGGTTCTGGTGATTATTTTTTGACAGTGGGCTACCATTTTTTGCTTGGTTTAAGTGTCTCAATAATTGATGGAGTACCAGGTTTTGTATAGTGAAGAACAGAAGAATCTGGTGAAAATAGTTTATGCCCGTTAATGTGTACTTCTCTTCTTCCATCAGGAATCAAGAACAGTCAATCTAGGCAGTAGAATTTGACGTAAGTTTATTGTTGATACTATAACTCAAATTGCTCTAGTGGTAGGCTGCCTCTTACTTTGTTCTTAATGTGTGTTTGGGGTGCTAGAGAGTTTTTCTCAACATGCACAGTCACTTTGAGCTTTCCGTAGTTCTTTCAAACTTGTGCTAAGATGAAGGTCTCTATACCCCCACTCCTCCCTCAGTGTTAGACTGGTGCTGCTTCTTAGTCAATGCTAGGTTCTTTTTTTTTAGGCAAGATAGTATCTGTTTTAGTCCAGCATCTATCTTAGGCAGACTCTAAAAACCTGGACCTCAGGGGTAAAGCCTTTTCAGCATTTCTGGTCTTTCTTCTATCATTCAAACTGAACTTTGTATCTGTGGCTGGTGTTGAACAGGAGTTTTCTAATTGTACCCCAGTGGGGTTTCAATATAGCTTTCTGGGCTAAAGCTAGTTTCATATTTCTCTTCCAGATAGGATGTTTCTTATTTGTCTCCCTTGGAATAATGGCTTTTTTTTTTTTGTCTGTGTCCTAATAGTGAAGAATTATGTTGCTCCTCTTCTGGTTCTTTGTATGACAAATGAAGACCTAGGAAAAAAAGATAACTTTGGGGTCTGTCTCTTCCACCCCTGCCAACCACCTCTGTTGGATAAAATTCCTTTTGAAAAAACAAATATATGCAATTGTTATGTTAAGGACACTGCCTGTTGGAGTCATCTTCATCTTACTTCTGTTGATGCTTTCTCTGGAATTATAATCATGTCCCAGAGGAAATGTTTCTAAACTTATAACTGATAAGTAATCATACTTGGTCATATAGGATCTATTTTAAACACAGAAGAGTCTATACTTTTTCTGAGCAAATGGGACATTGCAAATATTTTCTCTGCTTGATTATTTCAAACCAAGGTGCTTTATGTCTGGTATTCTGATTCTCTGTATTTCTTCTTGGCTGAGAAAGTTTAGCTGGGAACATCACTGATTTTCTGACTTCCTTCTTCTGTCTTGCTTTCCTAACCATCATCGAGCTCCCTACTCATCTATTTTAGAACTTCACCCTGAGAACTAGATACTGGTCAATCTACCTGCACTTTTCACTCTTAGAACACTGTAGTATATTAAATTATCCTGAGTAAATGTGTTTTTATGCTTCATTGCTTTGTTCTTCCTTGCTGCAGAGCTTTTGTCAAATTGCTCTCAATAGGATCCCTGTCCACAAATACTGAAAAGTGCTTTGGATTTAGCAACACAGTGATTTTTCATGAAACACATGAATATACATTTGTATAATTATTTTTTAAAAATATTCACTATTTTAAAGAACTATTTTTGTATCATCCACAGTCCACTTTCAGCAAAGTACTTTATAAGATGTGATTTATCCCCATGATAATATACAAACAGTAGCTAACCATCCTTTGACACCCTCTGTGTCCCAGGAATTATTCTAAATGTCTTAATATATATCACTCATTTTTAAAAAAACCTATAAACTGGGTAGTGTTATCTCCATTTGGAATATAATGAAATGGAAGTATAAAAAGATGAAGTAATTTGCCTACAGTCCTAGAGTATGAATTGGTACCACCAGAAACACACGTTTTGGTAACTTATCTTATGGTCATATTACCTTAATTTCATGAATAATTATAATGTCATGAAAAATTTACATATAATACATTGAAAAATATAAAACATTTTGTACTGTTTAATTACTGAACTTATTGGTTTGCTATAATGAAAGAAAATTTATTTTGAACAGAATTTGGATCTTAGAATAATAAGGACTATTTAAAGAAAAACCATGCTCCCTATTTTTAAAAAATTAGTGGGAGCTACTGATAAGTACTATTGCTTTAAGAACTAAAAATGTGCATAAAATTTAACAAATTTAATAAAAATAATAATGATGCTTTGATTGTTGTGAGCTAGAAGTGCTTTTCTCATTTTTTTCATTATATCTGAATTATTATTATAATTCAAGAGTCAATATCGCTGGTATTAGCTGTATCAATGGAAGAAGCATCCTATATAATAAAAGCCCAGAGACTGAATGGCGAAGGACCGGTTGACCAGTCACTGACGCACACTGACCACCAGGGGGCAGATGCTCAATGCAGGTGCTGCCCCCTGGTGGTCAGCGCACTCCCACAGTGGAAGCACCACTCGGCTGACCAGGATGAGTGGTGCTCCCACAGTGGGCCAATCCCTGCAGGCCACGCCCCACACCTGTGCACGAATCCGATGCATTGGGCCTCTAGTTTGCATATAAAGGTTGTCATACATGGAAACAGAAAGAATACTTTTCAAAATGCTTAACTAAAGGAATATAGCAAGAACAATGTTATCCTGCAACAAAATACATAATCATGAGTAATTTATCATCTTGTCATAATTTTACACAGGATGATATAATCTATGATATGGGTTTTTATCCCTTTAAAATATTAATCTAAAAGATTAAACAACGAAACTTGATTGAAAATGATACATTTATCTATTTTAAATTCTTGTATTCAGATAGCATGTACCATATATTAATAGTGAATACTGCAAAATGCCATGCCATTTACTGTCTGTGTTTCTTTTTAGATCAGGTCAACATAAATCTGAATGCAAAGACAGTTTTAGATGTGCTTTTCAGATTTAATCAGACTCAAAGAAATGAAACCCTAGGGGGAAGATATCAACCTATTCTTAGAGGACATGAGAGATGGAATTTTAATAATTCTGAAAACCAAGTGAAGTCAAGTATTATCTCTTGACTCTTGATGGAAATTTTGTCAATCATTTGATTTTTTTTTCTTGTTATTCTATCAAGAATGTCAGGACATGTCAGGACCATATTATTAGTCAGTCATTGTGTCCTATTGATTCCATCTCTGCACTTCTCTCATCTCCAATGGCACTGCCTAAGTTCCAAATTTTGTCTTTATGACTTAAATTGTCCCTTGGCTCCGTGGTTGGCAAACTGCGGCTTGCAAGCCACATGCAGCTCTTTGGCTCCTTGAGTGTGGCTCTTCCTAAGCCTTAGGAGTACCCTAATTAAGTTAATAACAATGTACCTACCTATATAGTTTAAGTTTAAAAAATTTGGCTCTCAAAAGAAATTTCAATCGTTGTGCTATTGATATTTGGCTCTGTTGACTAATGAGTTTGCTGACCACTGCGGGCCTAGCTCATATCTCCGTCTTCATTTTTCCTTTGCATATCACAGTCCTTCTCCCTAAAATCAGTCTATTTTTAGTGCTGTCATAAGGAGTCTCTAAAACTCATATCTGATGAAGTCACTATTTAAAATCTTGAACACAGAGACAGACAGTCTAGATGTGAATTCTAGCTCTGTTACCTAGTAGCTTTGGAACCTTGAGAAAGTCATCTATCTACTTAGTGCCTCAGGTTTCTTTTTTTTCCATATATAAAATAGGGACAATAATAGTAACTAACTCAATATGGTTGCTATAAGAATTGAGTTAATATACATGAATTGTTAAGAGTAATAGTATCTAGTACAGAGTAAGCAATATGACACTATTTTATATAATAATAAAACAAAAAAGAAACACTATCATCTAAGTCAGCCATTAAATTTTACAAGTGATCAAATTTGCTGTGTATGTTAGAGGTATACCTGACACGATTTAACACTGTTGTGCATGGATGTGTTGAGGGGAGGAAAAGGAAAAGGTATTAAAGATGACTACAGGGTTCTTTTGACTTAAGCAGCTGAGTGAATGATAATGCTCTTTACTGAGATAGAGGGAGATTGATGTAAAATCATGTTGTGGGGAGGGAGGCACAAATCAGAAAGTTCTATTTTAGACTTGTTTAATTTGAGATGCCTATTAGTCATTCAAGTGACAGGTTTATGATTTTGGAGCTCAGGGGAAAAGTCAGGCACATGGACATATGTTTGGAACTCATTGCTCAATTCATAACATTTCAAGCAATGTAACTGGGTGAGATTATATAGGCAAAATTTTTAGAGAAATAATATAATAGAATTTAAGATGTAATAATATAATAGAGTTTTAAATATCAGAGCTTAAACCCAATTTCTAGGGCACTTCAATTTTGAAATATTGGGTAGGAACAGAGAAAGAGCCCAAAAGGGAAAGGAAAAGAAGTCAAAAAAATAAAAATAAATCAGGAACAATGTTGTTGTCCATTGTGTTGAATTCTGCTGAGAAGCATGGAGATCACTTGTGAACTTAATAAGAGCAATTTCAGCAAAGTAGAGAGGACAAAAGCTTGATCACAGAGGATTTGAAAGAAAACAGATGAGAATGAGGAGATAGAAACTATAGCTTTTAAGTTATTCTGTAAAAAGTTATGCAATGTAGCATAAAAGAGGATCTTTTAAAAATAAAAATGGATTTTTACACCATTTACCAGAATACATTGGTGTAATCATTCACTATAGAAGAAAAAATTGTTGATGTGAGAGAAAAAGTGAAGGTGAAGAAAGACTGAAATACTTAGAATGACAAAGAGGGGTAGGATGTAGGTCACAAGTGCAGAATTGGCCTTTTAGTAGGACCATGTACGCATGGTCATAATGTCTGAGGAGAAACAGAATGGAGACATCTACCAAATTAAATAGGTGTAAGTTTGCTTACAGAAAGATTAAATGCTTTATTTTTGTTTCTGTATTGGTTAAATAAACATAAGGTGACATCACCATTTGAGAGTCACTAGGGATTGTGAGAGATTTGAGGAAAGAAGAAATGTGAACTGGGAATGGGAATTTTCACTTATTATGGAAATATAATAGACTTGTCTGGATAGTGTTGAGTACCGATTTGAGACTTGTGGTTATGAATTGAAAGGCAGGCCATCTAACATGACTGTATAATTTTCACAGCAAAGTTAAACTTCCCAGATATAGGTGTAGTGTTAGAAAAGCATTAGATTATTTAGAATTGCAGTTTAGTTGAGTGAGCAAGAAGGGGGGAAGATGTTTAATAAAAGTCGGGATTTTTGCAAGTGAATAATTTAAATAATGAAACATAGGTCCTGGACTTGGAAATTAACTTGGAAGATGAAACTAATGATTGATCATGAAAAAAAATTGTGAATTAATCCAGCTAGACTGAGAAGAAAAAGAGAAGGTAGGGATTTGAAATTGGAATTTCGCAGGTGTTCTATTATTAATGATGTCAACATAGATGGTACAAGCATAGTAATGCATAAATCGTGAAAGGACAGGGGCATTTTCCATTGGAGGCATGGTCAAATAGCTTGAAATCAGGTTTAGAACAAATTTGAGTATCTCTATAATTTCACAATTCCTTTCCCACTCCATAACCACAGTAAGGACATGAACAGGAATCTGTATTTTACTTACTATAGTTTTACATTCTTTTTGTCAGGTCAGAATGGTGCAGTCAATATTGTTCCTCAGAATAAGTATACTCTTAAGTATATTGATATAATCCACTTTGTGTTAATGCTGAAAGAGTCCTTCAAGCTGCGACTCATAAAATCATTCTGGAAAAAGTATAGACTATCTGAAAGAACAGAGTCAGACTGAAAACAGGCAGTAACAAAGTTATGAGGTTGTTGAAAGTAGGCCTGAGGGTATAAAATTGTCTGGAATATTCTTTAATTTATTCAGAAGATATTTATTGAATACTCATTATATTTTAAGCAATATAATGGTGACTCACTACAGGTGATATAAATAAGGATTGAGTATGTCTACTGTGCGCGACACGCGATCTGCGACGCCGAGCAGCGAGGCTCAGCTCAGCTCTGACGTGGTCCGGCCTCGCACACAGCCCCGCGGTGCACGTATCCCAGACCGAGATGGCGCG